GCGTGAGGTCAGGTCAGGTTGTGAAGCTCCTATTGCACATATGATATTGTGAAAAGATTTGATCAAGAATGTCAACCATACATGTAGGTATAACCCCAACCTCAGTGGAAAAATCATCACTTCAGTGGTTACCTTGCCCTTCAGCAGCACAGCACAAACATGCAGTCATAAGACTGAGAATTAACCTCCACAGGCAAATCACCAAACCCCAGAGCAGGACTTCTTTATTTTATCTCAGTGTTCTTTCGGTCACACTAGGTTAGAACTAGGGTTGCGGCAATTCGGAGTAAAGCAATTGTTCGTTTTTAGTTCGTTTGAATTTTCCCTCTTTTCCTCGCTTTCCTTCAGCTTAAAAGCGCCGTGCGCATTTTACTTTCACTTTTGAATTAACGGCAGTTCGGCGTTAATTGCTTGAATGCAACAACAAAATACAACGTCAAACTCACTTTAGCGTATATATAAAACAACTTTTATTAACAAAACAAATAAAAATACACCATGCTATAGGGTAGGCTATGCCTAATATAAAATAACAAATAACTTACATAAAGTTTAATAGGTATACAAAACTGGAAATAAGTAAACATGTATAATATATAACCAAATAAATAAGAAACATAGAACGTTTATTAGCAAAACGAGTAAGAAAGCTTGGAGGCACGGCATACACCTTGATGTCAAATAAAATAAATAAATGACACAAAGTTTAAATAAAGTAAAAATCAGCAAACAATGTGGAACCAATTCAATAAGAAACGAATGTTTAAAAAAACTTCCAAAATCACCTTAGATAAACGGCAAAAGTCAACAGGCTTTTCAAAATCCAAAATATTGCCAAACAGGCACTTTTGCATCTCGTTTCGAAACTAAATCATCCGCCATCGTCTTATCTGTCTCACCTCACCTCACTCTTCTTGTCAGTCGGCTCGAATCACTCTCCTCACTGGATAAATGAAACCTGATCTGTGATGCGACTGTCGTTTGGCACGCTGCATTGAGCAGCCGCGTTCAGTTTTTAATTGTAGTGTCTGTTCTTTTACTGAACTAAATGATTTTTATTACTATAAAAAATCTAAACGACGGTGGGGGTCGGTGACGCGGTGGGCAAGTGACGTAACCGGTGTTGCGGCTTAACACCGGTATCACCGTCAACACCGTCTATCGCGGCAAGCCTAGTTAGAACCAGACAAACATGGATTTCTATTACAACATTTTAATTTAGACAAACTATTCGAATAGGACACCATTTCTTGTTCTGAATGCACAAAAAAAAAAAGATTCTGACTCTGACTTGATGAGCTGAAGTCAAACCCATAGTAAAATTATTTAGATCCTCAACAGTGAATGGGTGCCGTCAGAATGAGAGTCCAAACAGCTTATAAAAACATAGCCAGGATCCACAGGTAATCCACACCACTCCAATCTAACACCTTGTGAATCGAAATGCTGCATGCTTGTAACAAACAAATCCATTATTTAGGAATTTTAACATTTAAACCAATACTACAAGCCAAAATAAGAGTCAATAATCCATAACAAAGAAATAGGTTTAAAAAAAAACAATACTGACTGCTGATACTCACTGTAAAAACAGCAAGTGTGGCTTTATTGTTTTAACAAATATTGTTAAACCACATTTTACTAAATGTAAAAAAAAAAAAAAAAAAAAAAAAAAAAAAAGTTATTAAATGTTAACCTAACACTCATTCATATGTATTAAAATACAAAAAAATTAATTAAATTAAATTAAGGATTTATAATGCAGTTTGACCACTGTACACCAAAACTATGACAAAAACATTTGATAAATACTGTGTATTACATATTTTCCTAAGCAAAAGTATAGTAAAACAAAACTGAATCTTTAAGCTCAAGTTATCCTAGGTTTAAGTTTCCTCAGCGAAACATCTTCAGCAGTCAGAGTGATGTTTCTGTGTCAGTCTTGTATGCCTCACACAATGAGCAGTCTTTCTACTGCACGAACGTCTCTATGCTATACTGAGATCATGCTGCTGCAGGCAACCACCACATGATACACAATGTTCTTTACAAAACTGTGAAAATATAAGCAAGCACTCATTCGAAAGCCTGTTGAAATATGTTATCTCGAAACTTATGTAATCCACTTATGTTGGAAAACAGAGCACAGAGCTCACAGAGAATTGATCTACTTGCACACACAGCCAAAATACATGCATAAATAAATTATGCACGCTGTCGTCTGCATTCTGTCTCTACCTGTAGCAAAGTTTAGTCCACTGATGTATTTCTAATCATTAAGTCTTCATTCATAATAAACATTACTTCTCCCAGCATGCCCATTTAAAACACAATAGTAACATTAAAAGTACCAGTACTTCAGGTACAAACTACTGGCTTTTTAAAATACCCACCTAATTTAAAAGTTCAAATTGATATTAATATGCTTGTTTTTAAATGAAGGCTAGTGTTAAAAAGTATATAACTTTTTGCTGTGAAAAAAAAACAACCTTAAAATGTCCCTGATACATACATTTGCCATCCAAACTGGCATCATGGCAGATACTGAAGTAAAATCACTCGCTTCAATGGAATTCCTTGACAAAAACACTGAGCTGGTTTGGCTTAGTTCTCACACAAAGACAGGAAAAGGGAGATCTCCATGCTTCCTCTGTTTGTTTGCCATGTGGACATCCAGAGGCAGTGCCAGACCACTAGAAACAGCGTTGCCTGGGCCAGAAACAAACACACGGAGACATTGTTCTTGATGCATACATCTGTTTGGCACCCCGCATAGAAAGGTGAATACGTGTAATGGTCAAGGCTCCACAAGAACGCTCATGACGCATTATGCAACTCAGTATTTTAAGACACATTGTGGTTAATCAAGACCATTGTTGTAGCATGTAGATGCACAGCATCAGAACTAAAACAAATTGCAACAGTCACTGCAGCAATTACTTCTACCACAACCACCGAACTGGTGTTTCACATTATAGTAATAATAGAAACGGTAAACTGAAGCTCTTTCAAGAGCAACTCTTCTCGAAAAAGGAGCATTATTTTTCTAGTTATGAAACCACGGGGACTGACAGTTAACTGCCTTCCTCAGGGAACTACTACTTGGCAAGAGCGGAGTTTAGGTGCAGATCGAGAAGTCACATTATGAGACAATCTATCCGAATGTGCTGATCATAGGGCTGCACGACTATGACAAAAATTTACATTGAATGATGTTTATACCATTGTTTGATGCAACTGCATGCCGTATTTTTATATGAAAATAAACGAGCTGAAAATACTCTAAATGAAAAACTTTTAGTGCTTTTCTATAGTATTAAGCATATCATCCATCAAATGTCAACTATACATCGGATTGGTTTCTTCTTTAAATTATAAAAAAGTAAAAGTGTGAATGGTATTATAATGTTATACTAAAACTAAAATTAAAATAATGGGAAAAACCCTCAAGATAACATGTAGAAAGAAAAAAAACTTAAGCATGCAGAATAACATAAGTGGACTTTAAACGATTAATTGCCACTTTGAACGATTACGTAATTGTAATCGCGATTAGAAATTCGATTAATTGTGCAGCCCTAGCTGATCATGTGTGGAAAATGACTGGTTCAGCTCTAGGGCCCCAGACTGCTGTCACCACAGCTCAAAGAAGAACTACCTATTTCACCTTGACAGTGCAAGCGTTTCACTGCATTAGTGAATAAAAATAGTTGGTGCAAACTAAAATACATTTAGGAGCAAATGTGCAAAAGTCCCAGTGTGTCCTTAAAAATTAAGAGTATCTTAAATGGTATAACAAACATCTTAATTTTCATTTTGAAGTCTTAAATTTGGGAACGGAAAAACAGGAATCCTGATACAAGCCTGATAACTGAACTTCAAAAGGCTATGATTTCATTAAAAACAAATGAATGCTTCATATCCAAAAATGTATAATTTAACAATTTTTTATTGTGGCCCTAAAGTGTTTTAACGTGCGCCTAGGTTTTTTAACTTAGGTGCACATGTACATGTAAGCATCAAGCCCTGTCAATCAATCGTTCTACCACAACAGTTTTCAGCTATATTTTCCAAGCGTTAACACTTTTTTTGGGCTACCAAACATGCAGTAACGCAGTAAATGTATGCAGTCACAAAACAGAGACCCTCTTCTTGATTACAAGAGGTCAAAGGAAGCACTTGAGACACATTTTAAATTCTTGGCTGACCATTTGTGATCAGATGACCACCTGAGATGGATATTAATTTCAGGTCCAAACAGGAGCTAATAAAATGAGAACAGCACAATAGCTGATGATGCAGTGCTGAATACATTAATCCAACTGTATGCTTTCTAGGAACAATCCACATCAGATTCTAAGAAATGAACAGCAAGTAACAGGCTTGATTAGATTGGAGATTAGACTGTAACTCTCTAAATGAGCTGTGGCAAGGTTTCACTGTCCTACTTAGTGCAGACACTTGCACTGCTGATCCAATTACCGTCTCTGAGCTGTCATGTGCTCAAACTCCCTGCGTGGACAGACAGGAAGGACTCTCCCTGACTGAGACTATGTCGGAACACCACGATCACAAGAACAAAGGAGAGAAAGATTGAGAAAGAACATCCAATGACGAGAAACAATGATCTTCAACAGTGAAAGCTCTCAATATCGATTCCAAATCTACATATAATTAGTAGGCCTATAAATAATTCCATAATTATTAAATACAGTCTGAAGCAGAAATATGACCTAGTGTATCTGTTCCAAATTTATTAGCCAATTTGCTGGAATAAAATACTTGATGTGTCTCACTTCAAACAAAGCTCCATCTGCCACAGTAACAGGCTAAAAAATAATTAATGGGTCATGTGAGGCTGCCCTCCAACAGTTAACACAATTAGCACCATTCATTGTGATATGTACACAACAACAGATCATTTGATCATTCCAAGAAATCATCAACAAAGTACGAACAACTGTGAGCCATGACTATGTTCTGTTTGGAGTCATTTCTACCTTTGAGGGCGGGAAGCTTCTGCAGTTCCCGGTTCTTGCTGAGGTTGAATCGTGACGAACTCTGTCGACGCTCCTTCTTTACAATCTGAGGCCCACCGGAGTACTTAATTTTGTTGAGCTGAGTGGGAGGTGGAGTGCTGTTGCTCGGACGCTTGCTGGCTGTCTGCTGGGCCTGGAGAAACACAAAAAAAACCACATTATGCCGTTCTATGCCATGGCACCACTTTTGGTCAAAGAAGGTCAGACTCCAGTGTCTTCCTGCTGATGGCAAACACAATAGAAGAGACAAAATACAGCGACCAAAGAGGAAAAAGGCAATCCTGCTGATCAGATGCAGGGGACATACTCATTCTGGAAAGCATTTTATTGGAGAAATATTTGGATACACCCATCAGTGCTAGATGAGTCATCAATATTTTTGCTCTGCTTTCTCGGAAGAGAAAGACTATAAATTTTAAATGTGTGTATCTACTAAAAGCAAATGGTCAACTTTAGGAGTCTCCTAGCATATAAATTACCTTAAAGATAATACAGTAAAAACTATAAATTTAATTTATTGGGTCTTTAAAACGGCTGACTTCATCGTCTATAAATGCACCAGTTAAATTTCTGGGCATTTCTCTAGATCAACAGGTATCTTCTTCAATGCCTTGACTATCAGTCAGTCGGTTTCGTTTGCACTTTTATACAAATATTAAAACTTGTTCTTACATATCTGCATTATACATCATAACTGATTTACAATGCTATTAGAAAGCACTACCAAACAGCAATATCAATTTAAGTCAGCTAGCTGCATTACACCTCACTTGGAATGTAATATTGAGTTTTATTTACAGGAATAATTGAGAAAAACAGCTTCATGTGAGATGTGGGACAATCTTTATGTCTTAAGTACCATTCCCACCCAGTGAAAAAAAGTGAGGCATCTAAAGGGGGGGAAAAATACAACTTATTTTAAGAAATGAATTTCAGGCCAGGCCTTGTTTGTAATAAGAAAAGGATATGATAAAATAAGTGAGAGCAGAAAGATGGTCATTAATAATTAAGACTTTGCATTATTCTTTTTTCTCACATTGGACACATTACTTAGGAAAGAGCTTAGGATATTTACAATAAATGTCATCTACAGTGAGCCTCTGTTGACGTAAATATTACCACATTTACACTCAATTGTCAAGTCTAGCATAAACGTCTCATATTGTACAAAACGTTTAAGTTTTATCCGATGGCAAAACATTGTATAAAACCCATGCAACCACGGAGAACTGCTGTAACAAAGCAACTCACCACATCAGTCATCAACCTGCAAGCAAACTGCCTCCCTAACCCGTGGGAGTTGAAGTCCACAACTAACCTAACCTACATACCTCCTTATTACCATATCTAGAGTCAGCCCACATTAAACATTCATGAGTAGCCTGAGCTACACTATCAAATAAATATGCGTCTTCCATATAAAACGAGCGTCACAGAATCCGTTTTGACCATAGATGAGAAACACAGTATTACCGCTGTGGGACTGTCCCCAAAACTAAATCATGCAAAATTTCTGTCCTTTTGTCAAATTGTATGATATGACCGCAGTGTGCAAAAGCCAAGGCAGATTATGCAACAACCACCAACTTTTATGACTGTGCGATATACATCTCAGCTAATACAATATTTCTGACACTGTCTGAGCTTCGTGTGAGGCTAAGATTAATTGCAAAGGCGATTAATTGGCCGCCAGTGAGAATGTCACACTAAGCTATCCAAGACTGCCAATTTTGCCCTACGACAAAATAAATATTTCACGATCCCTGAAATTAGTCTCAGGCAGCATAACGGAGGCAAAAAATAATCACACAGTGTGCACCCGGCTTTAGAAGCACATTGATTAAGAAACAAAGCTGATCTCTGGTTTATAGGAACACAGAATCAATGCTAACCCACAATGCATTACTAACACCATAGGTGAAGCAGTTCAAATAGCAGTAGAAATTGCTAAATGAGCAACATGGAAGCATGTGACGTTTCCAAAACAACTGAGCACCCTCATGGAAAAAAAGCTTTAATGTATTGAGGGTTTTTAATGAAGAAAAAGCAACACTGTCCAAGCAACAAATGGTATGTGTGTGTGTGTGTGTGTGTGTGTGTGTGTGTGAGAACAAACACATTTTGAGGCCTGCCCATAGCATTGCAAAGCTGGCCTCAGTCACAGGGGTTGCATGACTGAGCCTGACTTAAAATAGATCAAATCAATAAACTTCACCTCGGTGCTACGTCACACTCTCTGCCCGCTGATTCCAGCCGTCAGTATCACGTTGATGAACATGGAGATATTTCAGTCCCAACAGGGTTTACGGAGACAAGCCATTACGTCAGTACAACTGCACACTTAGAGGGATACAAGTCAATACGTAAACGCATACAAATTTCATTATCTCACAAATCACAACTGACGCAAGACGACAACAACACATTTCCCTTATCGCACGAATGCTTCTTTACTAGGTTCTAAAAAAACAAGTCTGACTGGATGTGGATGCCAAAGCAACAATGCAAAAAGTAGTAGTAAACTGTAGTTTTAAAAAAACATAGACTACCTTTCATGAACCAAGTTGAAATATTAGTGTAGACAACATATTTATATAATTTGTTAAATAAAAATTCTAGTCACCTATTCCCACCTCTCCAAACATTACATTAAAAAAAAAGGATAACAATATTGTATTTGGGGCAACTGTGATGCAATGTTCGAAGCAATATTTGAATGCAATACAATTAAACATTTTAAAGCAATACTTGCCTGATCCATACCCCTGTCACAAAATTAAGCACGACTTGGAGACGTAGAAGGAGGGACAGAAAAATATATTTTAAGCTGCTGCTATTAGATTTAATAACACACAGACAGACCTACAGTCTAGGCTCATTTTGAGAGGGGATTTGCATTGCTTTATGCAGGAGAATAAAGAACCGCTTTAAGAGCCACTTCAAACTTAGTTATTTAATAAAGCCGAAATTGAAATGAGGGTTTGTCTGGAAGCAAGGTAGATATCAAGGGCTTTACCCATCCTCAGCATGATACACTTCAGACTTGTGCGTTTGACAAGCTAAACGTGCAACTAACTGTATGTAACACAGAGTTGCAAAAACACAAGCAGAGCCAACCGGAAGTGCAGTGATTACTATGCATAATGAACGTAATGGACATAATGAATAATTTTAGCCTTCTTGTGCCCTGAGGAATGAAAAAGGCCAGCTACAACACTTAGCAAGCAAGTATTTGTGCCAAGTCCACTAGTCAAACACAGTATGAGATATGTTTTTAAAACGGTCATCTTTACCTCTTCTGAATTTTCAGTCCCAGCATCCTTTCCGCCACCGGCATTACTGTTTTTCGTGCTGCTTTTTGCAGATTTGGTTGGTTCCTGTAATGACCACAAAAGAACCAATAAATGAACATCTGAGTCATAAATCAAAGGAGGCTCCTATTATTTTGATCACTCCTTTTATCTTGGGGATGGTCTGCATACAAGCCAAATCAGGGGCAGGTCATGCTGCAGGACTGGTATGACAGGTGATGGCCAACAGCAGCCCAATTGCAACTAGATTTAGAATCAGACAATGACATTCACAAAACATTGACTGCTTTCTGGGAATGATAAATGATTTCAGTTCACACCGTGGACTCCAGCATCATATACACATTAACAAACTTGTCCGCTAATATATCGAGCGTTTATATATAACGATGCCCAAAGCCCATCCACAGCTTGTCCGCTGAAACATTGACTCATGCAGGGACAGGAGAACATGTTTGAGTGTCCAGCTTATGCTGCAATCTGTCAACTAATGCGCCTCTATTCACATATTAACGGCCGATCATAATCTTACTATAGAAAACTGATCTGTAATGCAAACACCGGGTAAAACAGCTATCGAACAGCACTCTTTCAAACATACACGATTCATATTTTAAATTCCCGTCACGTTGAGCTAAAGAAAACGCTTTTTTGTTATTTAAAAAAAAATGTCTGAACACGTAACTGTCAGTATTTTGACTTGAGACATACAAGCACAAATGCGCCCTTAGCGGGCTAGCGCGGCCTTCACTTACAAAAAACAGCGCCAGTAAATGTTGCAGAATAATTGTTTTACAAACAGAATTCTCGGACGCATTAATTAGACATGTGTTATGATTGTAATCTGTACTTTACCTTCTCTTTTTTAGTTTTATTCGGCATTTTGCAAATGTTGTCTTCAGCCGTGCCTCCGTGATAAGGCTTCCCTTGCACTCACTCAGGCTCTCGCTCGCACTGTTACCTCGCCCTCCCTTCACCAGCAACAATCTGATTGGTCAGCAAGGCACGAAACTAGATAGCAACAGTACAGCGGAATTTTTCTATTGGCTGCTTTTCGAACCAGACGGTCTTGAGTTTTCCAAACGGGGTCCTGGCTGCGACGAGGAAGGGGACTACAGCTGTTGTTTACGGCTTAGCTATCTCTTGTGGAGGTGCAGATTGTCACAAGAGGAATTGATTGTGGGAGGGAGACTTGTGTTGGTGACATTGACCGTCAACATGTCAGAATAGGGTCATCCAGAGGAGGTTTTGGTTGCATAAAGCAAAAGAGCTGGACCCTTTACTTGTGAATATTGATGCATTTGAGGACATTTGTGGTCCAGCTTCAGAATTGTCTCATCAGATAGACTGTATACATTCAATGTATTAAGGGTATTATTCTTTATGATAGTCATTAAAAATCCCAAAAGCTGCATAGAGAACTGTTCCACTGTAATTTTCTTACAACATGGTTAAAATTCACCAAATGAGTGAATTCTTACTCTTTAGCTTAGAACTAGTGCTACAAATGATCCTTATTATTTTTGTAGGCATCTCATCAACCACGTATCTCATCTGTTTATATTTAGACACAGTATTGGTAATATATATATAACATCTATAGTGTATATTTTGTATATTATCTAGAGTTCATCATAAAAACGTCCATACAGAAGCATCTACTGCCATCTATTGGTACATTTTTCTCAAAACCATTTCGACAGGGATTATAGCCTACATATTCATTTGATTTAGATAAAAAAAAAAAAAAAAAAAAAAAAA